ATGTGTGTGTGTGTGTGTCCCCGCATCTGTAGCCTGTTATTGTCTCATTATACCGCACTGTGAATGAATTAAAGTAAATATAAGTCGTCATGAACACATCTGTCCATCAGACAGATGGGCTGCTGTGCCTCCTGTCATCATTAATGGACGTCTCTTTAAAATGACCGCTCAGAGGAGAGGAGTTCTCATTTCTCTAACCGCCGGCTGCTTCCACTCCTCTCTCCTCGGCTCGCATCTCCTGTGGGCGGGACTAAGTATCGAGGATAGGAGTCGAGGAGGGGAGTTAGAGAAATGAGAAAGTGCCAGGGAGAACATAATTTCAACATAAAATCATGACAAGACAGACAACTAAGATGTGACAGAAAACTAGGACTGTGACACATTAGCCTTTTAGCTCAATTTAAAGTGAGTCCTGGCTTCATTACATTATGCATTTGATACAGGATAAACACAGGATGACCTTTCTTTTTAGGTAAATTGGTGGCAAAGTCAGCAAAACGATATGATTGAAAGTATAAAGATGCACATCTTTGTTATTTTTGGAGGGAAACAATGTAAATCTGCTGTGTTAGACAGGCATCATATGTAACTAACGCCCTCCTTCCTGGCCATAGGTCTTTACATAAACACAGTGTGGCTCTCCCCCCTCAGCTGGCCTCTCTGCAGCCCGGTTGGGGGAAAAGGAAGTGAGTAAGTGTGGTAGAACTCTACAGAAACAGCTAAGACCCTCTACTCATATTACCACCTCCACCACAGCTGTCTGTATGAAATGTATGCCCACACGAGGAGTTCACTTTTCTTTACCGGTAGTTTTTCACATCATTCACAAATTGATTCATGTATTTAATCCTAATCCAATTTTTTGGTTTTATTTGTGACTACCTGATTTATTGTCCTGATCCTTTTTCATTAATTTTCCTTTTGCCTAAATTACTTCATTAAAGTTATGGTAGCTGCAGATGCGGTTTTAGCAAATTTTGTACAAAATGTTTGATTATTTATGCTTATTTAAATTAATAATAATAATATAAATACATTTGGTTTTAGTTTTGGGTTGAGAAATATGTGGAGCATTTGAAGCAAGCTTGCAGTGGTGGTAATGTTACTGTGTACCATTACAATTGCTGTACTAAAGTACAATTTTGAGGTACATTAACTGTATTTGACTATTTGTATTGTATGCCTCTTTATTATTTTACTCCACTTTTTACTCCACTGTATGGGCTTGACAACATTAGTCTAACATTTTCAGATTCATTATATTTAAATGAACTCATTCATAATGCTGAGTTATTATATAATTAATTCTGCCCAGAAGAATACAACCAAATTAAATTTAAAAAAAAACCATTACCAGCTGCAACATTAGTGATGCTTACACTTAATGGACACTATTTTTGCAATCATTAAATATATGTATTATTCTAAAATTAGTCATTCTGCAGAATAAAGTAGTAATACATACGTTTTTTATACTTTGAGTGTATAATGATGCTTATGCTTTTGTATTTTTTCAGTACTTTCTCAGCACACAACCCCCTCTCTCGGTTTTTTCCTATAGGTCTCTGCTCAAATAAAGCTACATTGTTTATGTGACATTAGTCTGCCCCCATTTTAAAAACATATTATACAGAGTAAAACTTAAATATAAAACTGCCCACTAGGTGACAGCAAATCCTCACACAAAGAACACATTTTATACTGACTTGTACAGTGATTCCAAGTTCTTCATCAAACCACTTGGGGCATTAGTCTCCAAAAATCTCCAGGATGGCCCACCTCTCTGGGGTGGGGTTGATGTTGACATGAGTCACTGTGCTAATAAGACTGTGAAGGTAAGTAACCTTAAGGTAAGTAAAGTAAAGTAAATGAGCTACACCTGAGTGAGGTACATATCTGAGAAAGAGATTGTGAGGAAGCACACACTCCCTCACTAACATTTTGAAAAACGCTTTGTTTGTAAAGAAAGTCAGTCGATTTCTCTTCTGAATTGTCTTTATTTCAATTAAAGTTTATAATATCAATTTACATAGGCAAATGAATATACTATACATCTAAATGAATTTCACTTCTTAAAATGTCTTAAACACACAATCACAAAGTTAATCACCATTTCCTTTGTTCAGACCTGGAGGCCATCTTGTGCCGGTGCTCAAAGGGGGAACACGCCTCCAAAGTATTCCTTATGTTCTGTATGAGTAGGCGGAGTCTTGGATGTCATTGGTCGGGAAATGTGTAATGTAATGAATGCCAATTAACCTATCAGTTGTGTGCAGATCTTGTTTGTTTTGAATGAACAATGTTTTTTGTAGATCAAATAATTAATTTACTCTGGCCTTGATGATTTTGTTACATGCAGAACCTTTTTTTTTCTTTTGTGTTTAACTCTTTAACTCCCCTTTCAGAGTCATGACCTGATTGGCCAGGTTGAATTGGGAAGGCGGGTAATCTGCAATAAATATGACTGGAAAGAGAGGGGACGGGTGGCATTTGTTTCGATTTTTGGTGAAAGAGCAGCACCAGGCATGTAGTGAAGAAAGCAGTCTATGTTTCTGTAAAATGACGTTTTGTTAAAGGCTAAAAAATGAAATGCCTGTTTGTTTTTTTAATGAACCCTCTCTCTCCTTGTGATGTTTTATCACCTCACATTACAACAGAGACAACAGATAAAAAGGGAATTGGTCTGATAAATAGGTATATGGTTCCAAGTATAAATCCGGAAGCATGAAACATGAACCACAATTAATCTACTTCGTTTAGTACAAGGCCCTGTAACAGGACGCCGTAAGAGAGATAAATGTAACACAATATACTTTTTTTGTGTTTCCTGGTTGCCTCACCATTGGTTATTTTTGTTTTAAGTATTTATTTATTTATTATACTTGAAACTTGAAGTTACTTACCACTTTAGATTTCCAATGAAACAACTCACAATTTCTAATAGAGTTTAGGTGCCACTGTTGTTGTAATAATTAGGCCACATAAACACTGTTGACCTGTTCAGTAGTCTGTGTCATATGACGAGTTTGAGAATCTTTTACCTCAAACAGCACTGAACCACATTGAGCTTTGGGTGCATTTTCTTTACCCTGAGGGATGTAAGAAACAGCTACTGTGGAGCCTCTGCAAAACTGCAAGAGAGAAACTTTGAGTTGTTTAATTTTTGCATTGTATATAGCCAAACAAAAATACATTTGAGGGAGATTCCGGGCAGTTAAACCATGATTTTCTGCTGTAGGTTGTAGAAAATCAATGTTAAAAGTAATGAAATTAGAGAAAAAAAAATGTAATACTTAATTGGGGCGGTACTCATACAAAATCAGGGACAAAGGACATGCGAGAGAGGTAAAGCATCATTATGATGAAACAACCTCAACTTCCTGTTATGTCATGAAAAATCCTTAAAGATTAATGATGTACCATACCTGGGGTTTAGTACCAGTTTCACTATACCACACAGTGCATTCCTGGTCACCGACTGTCGAGTCCTTAGACAGATCTTCAGCTGACAGATGACAGCAGCACAAGGCCAAATATGTGACTGAGCGGGTCTGAGGAGTGCCACATATACTGCAAGACTCCTTTAGGTGCTCCATTGTTGAGATATTATATCCCTGAGAAAGGGCTAACTTTTCTTTCATAAGCAATCTACTCAACCATCTTCCCTCCATCCAGCTTCATTTAGAAAACTGCTAACTGAGAGAAAAGGTTCAATTACATGAAAATCACTGTTTGTGGTGATATATCATTATTTCAGATTGATGATAATAGTGGAGGTATGTACTTCAGCACAACACAGAGCAGGCTTTGTCACAGCACAAAGCATTTATTATCCCCTTCGTCGCAGAGAGGGGAAACAGTGCTCAGGCAGCCCTCTTCCTGCTTATCTCAGACAAGGGAAAGGCCCTTTATAATCACCAGGCGTCTGGATGTAAGACCACAGTATCTGAAGTCAATGCTCGAGACGCTACACTAATCTCATCCGCCTCACTGTCGTCATTCCAGATTTCACTTCAGTGAATTTGTTTCCTGACAATTTTGACATGATATTAATTAAGAAACCGCAAAAAATGTACTTTAACAAAGCAGTTTGTAGCTTAAAATAGAAAGACACTTTTCAGAAAGAATATTTGTTTGTGTATCACATGACTATAAAATAAAGAAGTACAGACTCCAAACTAGATTGCTTTGTTCAGTGCTCAATGCAGCTGCAAAACAAGACTTTTTCTGATTTGCAAAGAAACATTTAGATCCTACTCAAAGCTAAACAAACAATAACATGAGTAAATAGTACAGTTCAGAAATTAAACCACTTAAACAACTATTAACATATAGATTACTCGTGGTTGCAGGACATGTGTAAGGATTGCAAAATTCCATTTAGCTGTTGCAGTTTCAATGTCTTGTGTATGAGGACAATCTGTCACACTGGCAGGACTTATTGAAAAGTTTGAATGGCATAGAGCTATCAGGAAAGCAACACCTGTGCTTTTTAAAATAAATACATAATTGAGCCGACATTTCATTTCCTACAGTAATACAAGTTTTCCCTGTTTTTTTCCTGCTTCAGCATCAGCAGCCTGACATGTAAAACATTTTACCATTATTGTTATATTTATACCAACGTCGAAACTGCATCTAATTTCCAGTGTTGATCTCCTATTTATATCATGGATCCAGCTGTTTGTTCAAAGGTGTTACTTTTGCCATGACTTGATACATTACATACATTATACATTATAGTTTTGCAACACACTGCACACTTTTTTAGGATTTGCAATGATTCAGCATGATTGGTTTGGTCTTTTTATCTGTCTCTAAGTTATCCTCCCCTGTCAGAATAAAAATATGTAAGCATGTATTATAATATGTGCTACCAACAGTTGTCTGTACTGTACTGTTACTTCTGTCAGCCTCCTACTTTCAGTGATGCATTTATTTTTGCAGTAGCGTTTCTCCTCTCGCCATGTTTGTCCCTCGTCGCTTGCTGTTGCGGGGACGGGTTGCCTGGAGACGACGGTCACGGAAACGTTTGGGAGCAGCGATGGAGAAGTATGAGAAAATCAAAGTTGTCGGAAGAGGAGCTTTCGGGTAAACTCTGAGATTATTTACACTTTGGAGCTTTTTGTGTTACACACGCCTCTTAATCCAACTGTATGTTAGAACATGTGGTGTTGTCAGGCGTACATTCATAAAGGTAGAACTTTCTTTATCCTCACAAATGTAACGGAATCTGTCGAATGTGCGCCGCCCTCAGAAGAAAACAATGTTTAGAAAGCTTACGATTACTTTACAAATAAACCACCGGAGGGTAGTTAAAAGTCAATCAAAGCTAGCTATGTGATGTAACCTACTGCTGAAGTCATCCTGGGCTTCAAACTTTGTAGGTCTGTTTTGGCCTACAGTTAGTGGAGGCTAGCTAGTTATCTTATTTCGGATTAGTTGCCCTGGGTTTTGGCCTTTTACAATAGCCTTCTTTGAACTGAGTGAATACTCCACAGCTGGAAGACAATGTTGTTACATCAAGACAACAAGTTGCTGGAAAAGTTCATCAAACATACTGTAACGTAACTAAATGCATCTTAAAGATGAACAGACTTCTCTGCTACGTTACATATTCATCGGAGGTATTGTAAGGCATACTCACTCAGGTAACCTACAACTGTAGCTACAATGAAGTGGTATTTAAACGACTTTTTCAGACCATTTGGGCTTCAACTTTTCAGGGGGCAGCCCTAATGTAGTCCTTTCTACATAGTCACTTGTAGAAACAAGTTATTCCAATTATGTTGTAGATAACAGTTGTACACTTACCACTCTTAATGTAACCACATAATATGAGTTTGAATGAGCCTGTATGAAAGACATTTGTGAGCCATATTTCTGTTTATTCTATTTATTCCCTCGCTGCAACATGAAGATATCGTTTTTAAGTGTTTAATTACTTCTTCATCCATTCCTCCCAGTCTGTTATCTTTCCTCTTTTTGAAGGGAACTACTAAACAATCAGCATATGTACATAACAAAGAGTTCTGTAATAATGTGGTGCTCCTAGTACTAGGATGGGTAAAAAGCAGAGACCACATTTCACTGTGTGTGCTATGTGCTCTGTACGTGTGACCGTTAAAGAGGGTTTCATCCTCCAATGCTATCTATCTACTATACATAAGTAAAGGATACAGGCAATTTGATAAAAATTCATTATTTCCTCGAATCATACAGGATGCTCGCTTTAAAAACAAAACGACTGCCAATTCACTGTCGCAACTACAATATTGTTTATGACACAACATCAGGGGCGGATCTACGGGGGGCACTGTAGAGCCTTGCCCCCCCAGCTGCCCCCCTAACTTTTGTTTCCCTAAAACTGTACTAAAACAAACCTACAATATTTCCACAAGCTTCTCAAGCAACAAAACAAGCATTACATTAGTTAAAATTGAATCATTTTAAATATAATTTTAGGCCCGTTAAAAACGCAGCTACGGCCCTGCATTAAACTGCGGAGCGGCGTTCACACAGCCCGCAGCTCACACCGCTGCAGAGAGGGAGCGAGCTGTCCCAGCAACTATGGATCAGCTTCCCCTGGGAGCATTTCCCTTTCCACTAGTTTTGTTTTTACTTAGGACGAGAGCTTGAAACTAAATATTAATAAAACGCTGCCGTTTGAATCGATAGCGTTTAACAGACGGGCGCTGTTTGGGGCGTTACGTTACAAAATACTACGCAGACAGCGTTAGCTGGGAGATTGATCACTTTGCTAAACTACGCGGTAGCCTACTATTACATCCACGTAAACTACACATCACAGCAATGAGGCCAGATCAATGAAACCAGGATACATCCTTTACCGTAAAAACTGGATCTAAACACAGCTGCCTGTGTGCGCTTGATCAATACTTTCTGATGTTATATTTATGATATGCTACATATTAGCTAGGCTACATGGCCCTAACGTGTAAAGTTATACAAGCATTTGTACCAGTGCTTTTCACAAGTAGACTCTTGCAGGCCAGAGTATAGGAGTGATTCAACAACAACACAAAGACATATGAGAAGTGATCAGGACGAACAGAAAGAGGAAAAGGAAAAGAGAGATGAAGAGACCAGGAGGGTCAGAGCAGGAGGAAGAGGAGGAGATGAAGAGACCAGGAGGGTCAGAGCAGGAGGAAGAGGAGGAGATGAAGACATTGGTGAAGAAGAAGAAATATATGTGAGGAATAAAGATGAAGTATCAGAAAGAGGGCCAGAGGCAGGGATCAGGAGGCAGATGAAACTCCAGCTGGACCACATGGTATGTTCTTATTCTACTTACATATTCCATTACAGCAGCACAATCTAGCAGCTCTTAGTATTGACAATTATTGATTGAAATGTGTTGCTGCACAGGTCACCTGTAGCTCTCTGAAGAGATGGGTGATGTCATTTGTGTACTTAATTATAATTAAGTACAGTATGCAGAATTCAGAGTATTCTCTGAATCGGGTGCCTTTTGGATCTTTATATCTTTGAAAAATGAAACCAAAATGTTTGGTCATAACATCTGGTAGTGGACTACTTACATGTTCCCACCTCAGGCACAAAATATAAATAGTTACTAGGAATTTCCTTGAAAAAATGTAACAGGGTTGACGTTTTTGACAAAAAGTAGGCATGAGACCTTGTTTAGCTAAGATATGGCACCACATGGAAGTCAAGGACATTACAAAATTGTAATATTTTGCAAAACTATTAATTATTTACTATTATTAATTCATACAACATAGTTGAAATGTTGAGTTTATCAATCTTAATCTGAAAATACAAAAACTGAAATATAGGTAAGAGAAGAAACTGACACTTTTGTGATGTAATTCCCTCAATGCAGATCACACACGGACTGATCCATTATTTTAATAGGAGGGTAAATGGTATGGCGTGATGGGGTTGAAACAAACTGAGGGACAATATTGCAATTTCATAGATAATTCAAGTGTTTTTTCAGAATTGATTTTTGATCAGTTAAAGTTGACAAGCATATGATTATATTAGCAGCAACATTTTGGGATAATTGGCCATTTTGATTTGTTTAATATTAAATTAATATGTAATAATGCTTAGTGAGCACATGCAAATATGTCTGTCTAAGACAACCAATTTTTTAAAAACAAAATATATATTTAATTTTACATTGTAATGCAAAACAACCTGTTCCATTAATTAATTGCTTTAAAATACATTTTGTAGTTTCCTTTCATTTAAAATGGTTGAGGTAAGCTTGGGGGACTCAAAGGGCACCCGATTGTTTGTCTGAACACCTTGTTTCTCTTGTGCATTAAGAACACTTGTGTTAGGGCATGAATTAACAATAAATAGGTTATATACAGTGTAAAATACCACGTACTGCCCGCCCTCCTATGCCACCCTGGCATGACCTCTTGCCTCCCCTTTGCCCCCCCATGTAAAATGTTCTGGAACCGCCACTGCACAAAATATACTATTGTCTTTTATTGTGATTGTAGTAATGTGTTTTTATTACATGTACAGCACTTTGGCTCGACCAAAAATCGCTTTTAAATGTGCTTTATAAATAAAACTTGATTTGATTTGATTTATTTTCCATTTCCTCCCCTGTCAGTATTGTTCACCTGTGCCGCAGGCGAGGTGACGGGGCCTTTGTCATCCTGAAGGAAATCCCAGTGGAGCAGATGTCACGAGACGAACGTCTGTCGGCTCAGAACGAGTGTCAAGTCCTTAAACTGCTCAACCATCCAAATATTATAGAGTACTATGAGAATTTCCTAGAAGACAAAGCCCTCATGATAGCTATGGAGTATGCACCCGGTACGTTTACTGTAATATCTTATTACATGATCCCCCTTGTGTTCATTGTCAAACTGCAATTTTCCCATGGTTTATTGCTGGAGGGCCTCGCACTCTTTCTCCTTCACATGTTTTATCCGTCTGTTTCTGTTTTTATAACCTTCTTAGAATGTTTGATCTGTCTTTGCTTTGTTTTAAGTACAAATATTTGTCATTTTGTCAAAAGTCTGTTTGAGACAAGTGTTAGATATATTGTAATTTTAACCTTTTTGATTTAATGTCCTTTTATTACCTTGGAATCATTTAGTTATGGTTTCATGAGCATACATCATCTTTATTGTTCATTATGTCATTGTTTTCTTCATGCAGGTGGAACTCTGGCGGATTACATACAGAAGCGTTGTAACTCCCTGCTGGACGAGGACACTATCCTTCACTTCTTTGTGCAGATCTTACTTGCCCTGTACCACGTCCACAACAAACTGATCTTGCACAGAGACCTTAAGACTCAGAATATTCTTCTTGACAAGCACCAGCTGATCGTCAAAATTGGTGACTTTGGTATCTCCAAAATCCTTGTCAGCAAGAGCAAAGCTTATACGGTGAGCTGATGTGCCATTGATTTGGGAGTTGAAATACTTCAACAACAAACTTATCCTGATGTGTTGAATCCTAAAATGTGTTTGCACAAATGAATGCCCTTCTTCTTACTTGCAGGTTGTTGGGACCCCATGTTACATCTCCCCAGAGTTGTGTGAAGGAAAGCCATATAACCAGAAGAGTGACATCTGGGCCTTGGGCTGTGTGCTCTATGAGCTAGCGAGCCTCAAGAGAGCCTTCGAGGCTGCGGTAAGCAAAACATTTTATTTACAAAAAGAACCTTGCCTACTTGGTTGTAATGATTCGAGTCTTACTTAGTTTGTGTTGGTTTGAAGTATATCCACTTCCAGCTCCAAAGATGGCCACTAAAGAGAATATCTTATTCCTTCGGCAAGGATTGTACATATTTATAGTGAATTATGTAATTTTTGTCTATAAATCTTTTATATTTCTTTCAGAATCTACCCGCACTCGTTCTAAAGATCATGAGTGGAACATTTGCTCCAATTTCAGACCGGTACAGCCCAGAGCTGCGACAGCTCATCCTCCACATGCTCAATCTGGATCCATCCAAACGGCCCCAGCTTAATGAAATAATGGCTCTCCCTGTATGCATCAGGCCCCTGCTAAATCTCTACACAGATATAGGCAACGTCAAAATGCGCCGGTACTTCCTAAATGCATGACTATTGTCTAGACAGACATTTTAACACACGTGATTTTAGAATAAGATTTCCTAAATTGTGTTTTGTGTTATCATAGTTATTTGTTCTTCTATGTTCAAGGATTGAGAAACCGCTGTCTAGTATGCACACTGGTCCTCAGGGTAGACAAGGAGGCAGAGTTCCTACCAACAGGTCCAGAGGTCAGAATTACCACACCATTATTTGACGACAGAACTAGCTGTACCAGGTTGAAAATAGAACTTTAATTTCACACTTAATTGTTATTTCTAACAGATGGATCAGTGGGTTTAGGATCAGGGAAGGTTCATTCTCTCTTGCTGTCGTCAGTGTACACGTGGGGAAGTGGAATCTCAGCACCTCTCCGACTGCCGATGCTCAACACCGAGGTGCTTCAAGTGTCTCTGGGCCGCACTCAGAGGATGGGGGTGACCAAGTCTGGCCGTCTGATTACATGGGAGGTCTGTGTAAACCTGAACATGTTTTATATTTTTCGAGGTTCATACAACGCTTCTCTCACAAAGTCCTGAAGTAATGCATTAAAGGAAAAATCCTACATCTTCCACTATCAAGGAAGACCTATTCTGCACTCCTGGGCCAACCTGTTGATGACCAAAGACATTTTAATGTTATTCTGTTGTAGATTATTATTATTATCTCGAATATTAATGGTACACATTTGGTTATTGTGTCAAGCCCCTCAAAAGCATCCCTGTCGTCTAAACAGCCATAATATATTGTTAAATAGACATTAGCAAGTTCTACACCAGCAGTTTCTTCCGTGCAAGTAGTCACCATCCCCATGTTTTTGGATTGGATTTTCTGTAGTCAAATCAAGACATGCTGGGAATTATCAGTACTTAACATAAAAAAGTAACTGCTGGAGGGTGTTAAACATGACGTATTAAGGGTTTCTGTTGGCGTATAAGAGAGCTAATTCTTACTTTCTCATATCATATGTTTATGTATTATAGGAAACAGTTAAATCCTCACCTTTTTCCCTCCATTAAGAAGTATAATATTTATTGTCACAGGCTCCATCAGTGGGTTCTGGTGAGGCCGGTCTGCCCGGTGTGGTGGAGCAGATGCAGCCTCAGTTCATTTCACGTTTCCTTGAGGGTCAGTCTGGAGTCACCATCAAGTCTGTGTCCTGTGGCGATCTTTTTACCACCTGCATGACAGGTTGGTGGACCCTTCTGATTTTTATAACCGTCAGAGATGAACAGGGAGCTCTTTTAAAGGAAATCAATATTTATTCTCTGTTTCCCTTCCTCAAAAGCTGCACGACATGGCCGTAAAAACTCTGAGGCAGCATTCAAACGTACAAATAAAAGGGTGCTGTCAGCTCTTTTTCCAGACTTGATCAGATAGTGTGGATCCACTTGTAATGTAACCTCTCTGCTTGCCTAGCAGTTTGGAAATAGTTTTCCATGAGATTAAACTGATGTGCTCTGTTAGTCAGTGTGCATTAGGAGGCTGTTGTCAGTCTGCCCGGTAATGTGAAACAGATAACACAGGATTAAAGACCCTTCTCTCTCTTTCATCACTTTTCACTGTAGAGACTAGTGTCTTTAATCCCTTCGTTTTATTTTCAATTTGCAGACAGGGGCATTATTATGACGTTTGGAAGTGGGAGCAACGGCTGTCTGGGACATGGAAACTTCAATGATGTAACACAGGTACGCACCATTCAAAGGGAAATACTTAGACTAAATATACACTCAGTCGACAGTTTTTAAGATTCACCAATTTAAAGGAATGCAGTCCAGTACAACAGCACTACAATAGATTGTACCAGGGTTTATAATATTGTGTTGTTGTTTGTATTAATTAGGCTAAATATTAGAAACAACTCCTAGTGAAATGCATTATATTTAAACAGCACCACAATCCCTATCCAAAGTTGAATCATTGTATCTCTAAAACAGTTTTAATAAAAACATTAAACCCCTTTATAAGGTATTAAACAATGACTGTTGTATGAGACTGGTAGAGTTGTTTTAGCTTCTGTACATTATAAACTGGCAATTTAGTTTATTCATTGGATTTGGACAGTATGTAAACAAAAGTTGTCAGTACTTACAGTGCTTATGATATTCAATGTCACACCACCATCTAAATCCAATTCATTTCAAAACATCAACATCTTTGGTATTCCAATACAATGAGCAATATTAAAGTTGGGGCTGTGTAATTCATACTGTATGTGCCTATGAAGCAGATTACTAATGTCTAATTGCTATCATGTGCATTTCCTGTCAAAATATTGAAGTAACAATGTAATTTTATTGGACAGATAGTTAGTAATGAAGTGGAGAAGGAGAATCATTAGAAATGCAACAGAGGTCCCTGGCATTAATTGAATGTTGCATTTATATGATATATTGAATACTTACACTGGGTTACCAGGACGACATGTCGCTTTAGATTTGTGATTAAAACACGACAATGATGACATATCTTTTTCTCTCTGTTTTCTTTTTGCTCAGCCAAAGATAGTTGAGGCCCTCCTCGGCTACGAGCTGGTTCAGATGTCCTGCGGTGCTTCCCACGTAGTCGCTGTGACCAATGAAAGAGAAGTATTTGCCTGGGGAAGAGGAGACAATGGTATAGAGTTAATGATCCGGTTGTTTTAAAATCTATCTTACTATCCATCTTTTGGTGTTTGTTTGGATTGATTTATGACAGCATTATCTCAACACACAGTTTGATTGTTGAGTTTCTGTCATTTCTGTTGGAAGGTCGCCTCGGGCTAGGTACCCAAGACTCCCACAACTGTCCACGGCAGGTGTGTTTACCTGTGGAATTTGAGGCCCAGAGGGTGATTTGTGGAGTCGACTGCTCAATGATTATCAGCACCCAGTACGGCATTGTGGCCTGTGGAAGCAACAGGTAATTACTCTATATTTTCGCATTAAAAAAAAGACAATGGCCATTAGTTTCGGTAGGCATTTCAGTGACTGACATGAGCTAATGATCCGCGGTGGAACAATAACTTGTTTGTGTGCATGTGTTGGTGATAGATTAAAGAACATGAAACACTGAGACACTTATCTGGTGCACAACCTGTGAGACAGCATTCTCCTTAAATGACAAACACTCTTCTGTCATCATTATCCGTCTCGTGCATAAGTAAGACAGTAAACACAACAGAGTTCATTTCAGGTCCTAATAGAAATGGCATTGTTCATATGACTCAGCAGGTACATGCACTAGACAAGGAAACCGTGTTAAAGGGTTCTGTGATAAACATGCATTTTAGATTTGTGTTTTAAAGTACCGTGATTGTTATTTTGTTGTGATCAGGTTCAATAAGCTCGGGTTGGATATAATAACAGCTGGAGAGGAACCAAATCCCTCGGATCAGTTGGAAGAAGTCAACTCTTACACTCATGTCCAATCAGCCCCACTCGACAGTGAGAAGATTGTTCACATTGACATTGGGACAGCCCATTCTGTTGCAGTCACAGGTACAAATATTATATTATTATTAGTATTATTGTATCAATTCACATATTTTGTATCAGACTTTGGAACAAGATTATATCTATATTGTCAATGATCTACATTTATTGTGTCAAAGTCTTATTACTGATGATTTCAACCACATTTTGCAGAGAGGGGTGAGTGTTTTACGTTCGGCAGCAATCAGCACGGTCAGATGGGCTGCAGCTCCCGTCGCAGCAGCCGTGTTCCCTACCTGGTGCCCGGGCTGCAGGGCATCACCATGGCCGCCTGTGGAGACGCTTTCACATTGGCTATCGGATCTGGTGAGTAGAAGAGACTAAAATGTAATATATTTATCTATATATTTAGATTGTCTCATTTTAAGGGCACTTAACAGGAAATGTACTAGCGTGGAAAAATCAGGAAATACTGTCGGTTGTAAAAAACTTAAAATCTTAAACTTAAACTTAAAAGCGTTTCATACAGAAGCTATATTGTCTGGTTATTATACCCGGAAGTCAAATTATAAGCATAAACAAATGGTCTAAGAAAGGAAAATGTTAATTTGATGATTTTGCGATAAAATGCTTGCTGTCAGCTGACATTGATGATTTCTACAAGCATTTTACATTACATGTTACTTGTTAGGCGCTTTTATCCAAAGCGACTTACATACTCAGTACTGTGGGCAATCCCCACAGGAGCAATTTGGGGTAAAGTGTCTTGCCCAGGGACACAACAACATGCTGACTGCAGTGGGGTTTAAACCTGTGACCCCCTGATCCGAACACCAAGGCTCTATCCACTGCGCCACACGCCTCCTTCACAAGCATTTGTTCACAAAGGAAGCAAAGGAGAAACTGTATTTTCCGTCATTGTTAATCCCTCACGTCATGTATGAGTAGGAGTTGATGGAGTAAATATAACAGGGTTACTCTCAGTTCTGAGTTGAGACAACATTTCTTAAATATCTGTGGTTTAGCTGCTCTGGAGGGAAAGAGGAGGATTTTAATGAAAGTCACCCATTTCAATCCCTGTGAGCAACTATGTAACCACATAGTAGGCAAAAGAGAGAGCTGATTAAACACTGTGATGAATTTTAAAATGTCTGCAAGTTTCAAACTGAAATTATCTGAAGGTTAAATCGTTACATGGACAAAAATAGTTAGAAGTCATGCAAACGATACAGAGTTTTTAGCTAATGGGCTAAACTAAAAAACATGCAATACAAAAAAAGACAATGTGTGTTACAGATAGGGAACAGATGTGTACAATATGTGGATAAAATGTCCGGGGGGGAAGTCAGCAGTGGCCAGTCTGCAGTCTTTCTTTGTTGAAGAAAATCTTTGTTCAGCTTTAACTCCCTTCAGATCGTCATTTTGCCACCGCTGCACGAGAGACAAAGCCACCAGTTAAATATTTGTGTGAATTAATTCATCAGAAACAGTGACCCGCTCCTTCTCCCCCTGCTCTCCACAGATGGGGAAGTGTACACCTGGGGAAAGGGCGCCCGCGGCCGCCTCGGAAGAAAAGAGGAGGATTCTGGGATACCAAAGGCGGTGCAGCTTGACGAAAGTCACCCATTCACGGTGACATCGGTGGCTTGTTGTCATGGCAACACCCTGCTGGCAGTGAAACGTAATATTTCGCTTATTAGCCTTTGTTAACAAACACTGTGAGATGTTGGGATGGTGGTGAAATGTAACTGAGAGTGCTAATCCCCAGATGAAAGACAGGCTTAACTTGAGACAAGCCTCCTGATAGCGTCGACAGAGATGCATGTTTATGAAGAATTGTGAAAGGACTCATTTGTACGTTTTAACGCTCTAAGGCTAAAGACGTGACTACAGCTTTGTTTCATACTGGAATTAAGTCTAAGCATGTCCAGTCACGACATGCTACACACGATCAGGACCTTTCTATCTACGTCCGAAAGTAATAAATCAGCCTAATGTTGTTTTGTGGCTGTTGATGGCAGTCATGACATTCGTGACTGGGCCATAGATTTCCTATTGGGAGGAGCAGAACACAGCAATTTATCCCTCTTTGTCTCAAATGTGACACTGCAAAAGCCACAGAATCTAATACAAACTGAACTAAAAGTGGGATTAAGTCTCTCTACACTCCAAATTGAAAATAGCTGCAGATTTAGAGGAGATTAAACTGCACCACAGTTTAATAAATAGCAGAGATGTTGTTAATCCTCGCTACAGGCATCACGGCTGCTGTTTAAATATTTGATTGACCTGCACCATGTGACAAGGACATGGACTAACACTGACTAACACTCATAGAGGTCATTCGCAGGGTCTGTGATTCTGTTTGGACCAAACCAAAAACTGATTATCATACAATGTGTTAAAAAAAAGTGTATCTACTTTTTTTTTAAAGATCACACTTAGACTACAGTATATAAATACCTCAACATGTTGATTATATCAAACAATTTAACCCATACTGTATCATGAAAGGACAGGGAGTAGAAGTTGTGTCTTCGGGAAAACAAGGAAGCAATAGAAACCTAAAATAGTTTGATTACTATTTCTTCTGTAGGCTTATCTTATTATCTATCCAAGAAAATCATAGTTTGGTGGAGAAGCTGATCTCTGTGAAAGACATTTCACCTAAAACATCATTTAGTAATCGAAAATTACCGTACCACACTTTTTCAAAGCTCAATAATTAACAATTAATGTACTAAAACTGCTAAATGAATGCATGCTAAATAGAAACACTGTAACCCTGATATCTGAATGCTGAGGAATCACATCACTGCTGAATACCCTATTTAAAAATGTATAATGTTTAAAAAAGCACAACGTTTAAATCCCAAATTCATCTCCATGTCGACATCCTTGTATCAACATTAAGCATTTTTTCAGAAAAATGACTGAAATCATTTATCAAAGTAGATGCCAACTAATTCTTCATCAATCAATTCATCTTTTATTGACAATAATTCCTGTTCTGACCCTTGACCTTTTGCCCTCTTTCCCTCTTGTTTCAGCTTTGCTTGAGGAACCTGTCCAGAGATGATTTTGTCCTCAAAACAAATCCACCCCCACTTAGCAGTCGTCCTGCAGTCTGGCAGGGGCCTGAGGTGAAGCTTCCTCTGAATATAACTCCTCCCAGAGGCCCATCTGTGCTGCAGTTGAAAGATTTCCTTTCACACTGCAGCTGCGGCCTCAGATTCTCACTTGGTCTTCCTCTCCATCAAGTTTTTTTCTCTCTTCTGTTTGTTTCGTTCAACAGTTTGATATTTTACAGAAAAGCACAAAAAAGCTGTGTGTAGCAGCAGGTATGTCACAACAGGTTAGATAAGAGAAATGTTGCAACCCTGTCTGCTACTTAATATGGATTACAGGATGTCATTAGGCAGCTTTCATGTGGAGAGCTATTGTCCTCTCTCACATGCAGAGTTAGCATGATAAAGGCCAGAGAAAGTCAAACTGGTTTGAGCTTCCTTAAGCCACCTATGAAGAGTGAAAGCCACTTCAGTGTCTTCAGTCGAGTGAACCAAACACAGTGACCTCGATCACGCCGTCAGCGATCACATTGTATTTTATTGGATTAGTCCTCCGGTACATTTGTAACTCAAAGGCTGCGCTCAAACCAGATAACGCTGTTGTGTTCATCTTTAAAACTTAATGTGCCGGAAAACAGTGCCTCGTTCACTACTCAGCAGGTGGCAGGGGTTGGTCACAAGTAAAGTCGTTTTTAAAATAAATTATAGAATCAATCCAATATGGCAGGTTGTATTGGGGAGTGTTAGCAGAAAGTCCTGGAGGATATGATATGTGAACAAATATAACGGAACAAACTAAATCCCAAATCTGCAGTGTCAACAGCATCAATGCTCTTATTGATGGATTCTACCATTTGTGTTCCATTGTAGAAATCCTGAGAGCACTACAGAGAGCATACAACGCACACTTGGACACTCACAGAATACTGTATTATGAAAACAAGTGCTCTAACAACCTCTAAAGACATAATTATTGTCTGATAAACACTAGCAATCAACTATGGAAGTATAGAGTGTTGAGAGGAAGGTTTGCCAAAGACTATCTTTTTAGTTTTTAGCTATGTTAATACATTTAAAATGAAATGGTATATACTGTTTGACCTGTACTCATAAGATAACCTAAGACTGAAAGGTGGGGTAGGTCATTTTGGAGAAACCAGCTCGAGTGCGCTAGAATTTGAAAATACACAGCCGGAAAAAATCTGCCCCTTCCTTACAGAGCCCCTCCTCCAACACACACGAACGCGCACATGACCAATGAGGGCACGAGATAAGTTTGTGCACAGATGGAAGGCTGACAGGAAGGTAGGCCATCCAGTTATTTTAGCCGACCCGGCTCAGATGATTGGTTGTGCTTTTTACAGCGCTACGGCTTCCACAGATGGATTTTTTGCCAAAGCACTTCAGATATTCATTGCTATCGGGATGTTAAGAGCATTCCATGGAATATAATAAAAAGTGTATCTCGAGCCGGTTTCTCAAACTTACCTATCCCACCTGTAAGGAAAACTGCCGAAGCCAATGTGGTGTAGAAGTACTCAGATCTTAATAGCAATACCACAGTATATTCATACTCTGTAACAAGTTCTTTACTCAAAAATGTAAAGTAAAAGTACATATTATATATATTTTATTATGTTCATCATGATTAGTGATGCATTAACTATTGTGTAAGCATCACTTGTTGCAGCAGGCAAATGTGAGACTAATTTTATATTTCTTGTATTTAAAAAATAAATAATTATACCTTTTAATCTGCTAAGCAACTGACCGTTAGATACATGAAGTGAAGTGAAATGTACAATGTTTGCCTCTGAAATGTAGTGGATTGAATATACATGTACTTTAAAATGGAAATACTCAGGTAAAGTACCTCACATTTGCACAAAGTATTTGAGTGTACTTTTCCGTACCTAGAGTGGAATGTTTGCAGGTACCAATAATATAAGAAAGAATGATTCTCACCGGTGTCTGTGAAATCCTGTATCTGAAATTACATTTTGAATAGAAATTGATGTAAAGCATTTCAGAGAAGGTCATATTTATTGTGGCTGCTAATGGTTGTCTGAAAAAAAGAAAACATACTTATCATGAAGGTTGCCCTAAAAATAAAACAACTCATACATCACCATCTTGAAATGGTGAGTATAATTAAGTGAATTATTTTCATCATAAAACAGTTAATCTATAGGCCTACATTCATGTTTTTTTTTCTCCAGTGTTATTCATTAAGATTCTAATATAAATTATAATATTTTACAAAATACGGTTACGTTTTTGTTATAATCACTCCTTTCTGAAGATGTGTTCACACCTTGTCTGAGGACATGGATCCTCGACATTGTATTCTTGTGTGATGATGTAATGATGATGTAATCCTTTGGCAATACAGCAGGTTAAAAAAATATATAAATATGTGGATGTGCTCTTTATCTCTTTTGTCACAAAAACACGCCCATTTTCTATAATATATGCATGAGCTTAACATACTCAGTCAGGTTGTATTGTTATTATTTATAAACGCAACATTTTACAGAAAATACATAGAAATAGTACTATAATATTCATTGTGTGTGTCTGCTTAACCACCAGAGGGCACCTTCCATCTCTTACTGTGCTGTAGCTTTCTATATTAGGTCAATTAGACATTTGATTAAAACAAAATATATGATTTCGACTTAAAAATTACAAACAAACCTCCCAACACTTTTGACTGTAGGCCTACTATATGTTTAATAGTTCGAAAGCCAGGATCATTGCACTTAATTAGGTATTAACTGACAATTGAGTAGTAGATATTTGAACACAGACATGGAAAACAAACGTTTGATGATCAGCCACACAAAAGCTCAAATTAAATGTCCATAAAGAGATAAAAGGGGGATGAAATGGTGTGAACGGAGTGTCTCAGCGTTTGACTCCTCCTGCGGGGAGGAGGAGGAGGCGGGCCTCGGTGCACCTAAACCACACGGAGCCTGGGTTATGCATTGTGCTCAGTCTGCTATCAGTACTGCATCCACAGAGCAGGAGGAGAGGGCCACACATGAACCCTGAGCTCTAACAGTGCACGGAGAGCGCTTTTGGGGAAAAATCGGCGATCGTTTCTGCAGCGTTTCCTGGACGCTCGTGCCGCTCTTTTGTTTCCAGCAGTCGCCGGGCTGCAGGAGGAAAACCCGGGGAGTGATCGTCTCCTTGAAGCCCGATCGCTCGGTGGCGGAAGGGACGTGATATGAACCCCTCATCGGCTTAAACAGCAGTGCAGCTAAATAGCCCCGTTTTCAGGGGGAGGGGGGACTTAACTGAGGGATCAAAAGAGGACATTAATACCTTTTTAACCTGCAGCAGAAGGCCGAGAAATAGCCACGGAACCTGTAGCGATGCCCGGGTTTGATTACAAGTTTCTGGAAAAGCCAAAGAGACGGTTCCAGTGTCCGCTCTGCAGCAAGGCGATGCGGGAGCCGGTCCAAGTGTCTACCTGTGGACATCGGTTCTGTGACACCTGTCTCCAAGAATTTCTAAGGTATGGTGTGTTTGCTTTGTGACAGATCCACCTCTCTGCAGGCGATACCGGAGACGACAGCATAGCTTTGTCTAGTTTCGGTCAACAGAGCAACAGTAGATAAAGGACGTGTAGGTGTGTCCTCCTCACCTTTCCTCAGAAGGGTTTAACATTAATTTCAGTAATTCATAATGCCACTGCACAATGGCACAGTATGGAGCCTGGTAAACTGCACATTGAACTCTCCCGTTTTTAGTGTCATGTGTCATCTTCACTGATTTCATGCCTTTGTGAGCCTCTGTGTTTACATAAACATGACTGAGCTTTTTGTTTTGGATCATGCAGGTGTTGTATGGCAGGTAGAGGATGTTTTTTCTCTCTTTAGCCTAAAATATTCATGAGTGAGTCAAAAAAAACGAGGCTTTCAATCATGCAAATGATTATTTTGTTGCACATTTTGTGTTTTTGCCCTTATTCATTATTGAGGGTAGATTTTTTGTTGTTTGTGTCCTCCAGAGGGCCCGGCCTCTCCATCCTGTCTGTGTTTTTGCCCCCGGGGTGGCTGTGTGTGTGTGTGTGTGTGTGTGTGTGTGGTGTGTGTGTGTGTGTGTGTGTGTGTGTGTGTGTGTGTGTGTGTGTGTGTGTGTGTGTGTGTGTGTGTGTGTGTGTGTGTGTGTGTGTGTGTGTGTGTGTGTGTGTGTGTGTGTGTGTGTGTGTGTGTGTGTGTGTGTGTGTGTGTGTGTGTGTGTGTGTGTGTGTGTGTGTGTGTGTGTTGTGTGTGTGTGTGTGTGTGTGTGTGTGTGTGTGTGTGTGTGTGTGTGGTGTGTGTGTGTGTGTTGTGTGTGTGTGTGTGTGTGTGTGTGTGTGTGTGTGTGTGTGTGTGTGTGTGTGTGTGTGTGTGTGTGTGGCTGTGTGTGTGGCTGTGTGTGGCTGTGTGTGTGGCTGTGTGTGTGTGTGTGGCTGTGTGTGTGTGTGTGTGTTTAGACAGATTCCTTCATTGGTGACAGTTAGGGGGCCACTGAGGGACCTTTCACTCTGAGGTCAGCAGTCTGACTGACCCCCCCCCTACCTCCTAATCTGCTCAACATTGAAGCCAGTGTTAAGACTTGTAGAAAGAAAGTCTTTGTTTTATCTTAAGGTGGACTGCATTGTCTGAAACGAGGGACTTACATGAAAGGGAAACTAATATTACCCACCCACAATTTAATCTGCACATCATGAACTCTCATCATAAACTTCTTCTGGAGTGAAGTTTAACATAAACATTTGTGATGTTTACTCTGGTCAAAGTAAGCCTTAATTAAAGTTTAAAGAAAGATCAATTGTATGTAACATCTGGTTTATCTCAAAGCAGAGATCTTTTGCACAGTTGAATACTGGATGCTGTTCAGGCAGATTTGATAAATATTCAAGAGGAAATAAGATAGTACAAAGTAGCGCTGCAACTAAGGATTACTTTTATTAATTGCTTATTTTCTCAATTGGCCGATATCTTATTGTTTATAAAATGTTTCCCAGAGCCCATTACATCTTCAAACCTCTTGAAGCTACAGTTCAAACGTAAAATAATATTCTAGGAGGCAACAAAATAAATCAGCAAATCATGCAATACAATTTCTTTCATAAATTGGCTTATCAACAATTCAGGTATAGTTATGATGAACAAGGAAATGGTTTGGTTTCAAGAGCTGCAACAAAAGTAAAACACTCAATAGACGGATAGATATATACTTTATTTATCCCAAATTGGAAATTATGTAATTCAATAATTCACTTAACAGCACAATGATCAACTAATAATGATCAACTTATCACAAAAAAGCTCTCTGGATCTGGCTTATACATGTTTCTTGTTTCCTGTGCAAGTTGACAGGCACGACACACAATAATATAAACTCTATTTTTGTATTAATAGGTTATAAATCAAAGTGGATATACTTTATTATTTGTTGTTATGATTGAGTCATATCCAGCTGATATAGAAGAGCATCTCTTCTGTTGTAGATGAACATCATTGTTGACATGTTGCATGCATCATCAGAGTTTCCGTGATGTGTGTGGAAAGATAGAGAGAGGAAGACAAAACAGATACTAGCAGGGTTTTTACTCATTTGTGTTGAAGTAACACTTTAGAAAAGTTAAAGCTTTCAAATAAAAATGAACACTTTAACATTTAAGTCAATGCTGCATCTCATAAAAGCGCTGTGGTTTGTGTGATTGTTCTGCAGTTTGATGTTCCGATCTTTAAAAGTCTTTAGTTACTTCATGAAACTTGACGGCAACCTGAAGGAAACTCACAAGCAAAAACAACTTTGTTAACAACACTTGCTACAGGAGGGACGAATAGGCCATGTTATCTCATCCTAAGATATCAACTTCTTATGTATTATTTGTCAGAGAAACAGTGTCCTAATTTAAAAGAGGGAGGTGGAGATGTGAATGACGGCTCTGAATACTGGAACCGCTGTGCTGCGCACCTTGAGTCATCAGGAAGCCTCCTCTTGCTTACTAGACAGCAGCAAATTGCATCTGGTAAAAAGCAGAAACTGAAATGTACAAAAACAGCGAGGGAGGAAGAGTGTTCCCTGCTGATCAATGAGTTTAACCCAACGCTTTGTCTGCCTCATCCTGCCCACCTCCGTCCTCCTCCTCCAGTTTACGCTCTTTTCATCCTCCCACAGACTGACTGGATGTTACAAAAGTTTCCCGGCTTGTGAAAGTTTTTGGTTGAGTAAATGTTTGTCGGGATGTCAGCGCTGTGTGAATAAATGATTCCTCCATGTCTGAACTGCATAAAGATGTAGCAACATCTGTGAGATCTGGTACACCTTAAAAGTGTACAAATTCGCTATTTCAACAATACCAGTTTTACAAGGCGTTTTAATGTGTAAGTAATGGATGTATTCGTGCTATATACATAATAATAAACAGTTTTCAAATCATCAATTTTGAGTTGCAGCCTTTGGAAAACATGTGTTGACCATTGCAGACGATAAAGACAACAATCCATTTATATACAACTAATCAACACCTGATGGTTATTGTTTCTATTAATAACTTAAAATTCAAAAGTCTTTATTTATTTTACATTTGTAAGGGCAGCCTTGATCATTAAACTGTTGTGGTCAAAGTGGTACCTCATAACTGTTATCAGATTCCATCCGAAGGTGGTATTCAGATGTCTAAACAAGTTCTCCTGATGCTCTTCTCAGGTAGAATAAAGCTTAAATAAACATTTAAATCAACAGTACATTATAGTTCAGCAGCTCTCCCACCTTCACTAACTCTGACAGGCAAAAGCAAAGCTGCCTCGTCACCTCTTTAATTAACAAAGTATGCCAGTCGAGTCCACTTTAAGATCTCTTGGCCGTCGAGCGCACGCATCTTTTTGTGAGGTGAGTTCCAGTTTATTGGGGCTGACAGACAGTAGTTAGCTAATGCTTCGCCTGTTGTGCAACAAGGTTGATCCTTTTGCTGTAATTATTGGAGGTTGTGTAATATCCAGTCTGGGCTTGCCAGCCGACTCTGCCCACTTTCACCCTGACAGCGGAGCTCGCCGCTCTGTTGCAATACACAGGAATGTTACTGCATGGCATTTCTTCAATATGCATCAGGCTTTCTCAAGAAATAGACCTTGTGATCACCAGGACTTTAATTAACTGAAATATGTCTTAAATACACTTAATAGTTGTAGGTCGAAATGTAATCAAGTTTGTAGGTATTAATGTAAATAATTCTGTATTTTAAGTTGTTAATTATTACATTTGGAATATTACTTGTTAGTTTGTCATTTATGAAAGTTGTTACAATATAAAATACATCTTTATAAACACTTTAATGTGGCTTTAAGCACATATAAGGACATGTTAAGTGTTGATTCATGTTTTGTACGGACATCACTGATTATAACTTATTTTATTAATTCATATTTTATGTTATTACACATATTTTAATATTGTCATTAATTGTCAATATACACCAGTCTACAATTCACTACAAGTTGTATTAAGCATTGTTTACAACCCTATTTTAGTGTGTTATAAACCATTTGTTCAATGCTGTTACTGCTAATGGATGCTAACACAAATAAATGGTTAATCCTGTATTTTCACTTCAAAGCTTGTCAAAATAAACTTCCTTGAGAGGTACTCGAGGAAACGCATGAATTGTTCTCCTTTCCCATGTGTCAGCTCCATGAAGAGCGTGTGTGTGCCTCCTCTGTGTTCATAGGCATGTTAGCATGTGATGCTAATGGGCTGTGTTTCCGCCCCGGGAGGAATGTTTATACACTTGACAGTCCTGGAGGCTGCCCCAACTCCAAAGGAGAATCATGGGGTAAAAAGCAGCCCGGCCCTGCAGAGTTAACACTCTGCAATCAAATATGAGTCACATGCTTCAGCACTTGAGTGTGTGCTGACCGGGGTAGGCCTTTGTTTTTAGCAACACTGCCTCTTTAATAAAGGAGAATTAACACTTAATGGTATGTAACATAATTTTCTTCACTGTGTGGGGGCTAAGTAGCCCTCACACATGCCAGGCCTCATGGCTCATCAGTCCTGGGCCTCCTGAGCTGCAGTAATGCCATGCAGTGTGACAGTGCTGTCTCTCTGGGCATGATGCAGGGCTGTGCCACGGCCTTGCCAGGGGTGTAATTGGTTTGTTCGACTCGGGAGTTTCTTCTTCCACACACTCATGTAGAGCTGCAACTGCTGACTTACCCAGAGTCACGAGGAACTCCAAAGTGGGCTATAAGGATTTCTATCCACAACTATATTATTCACTGTCCAAAAGCCAGGGGAGTGTTTTTATTTGTTGTGGAATGGGCCGTGATTCATTTTAACTTTGACCCATCCTCTGTGTGTAGCGCAGTTTTATTCTCTCCTCATCTAGGTGATACTCACTCTCCCACGCTTTTATAGTCTCGGTGCCTTGATGCACAACCACCAACATCATAACAGACTCTTTTACTCTTCCTACAGCAGCGACTGTCTGTCTTACATGTATGTGTTGGTTTAGTGGAA